CAGTATCAATACACTGTTGTATTACTACAGTATCAATACACTGCTACATTACTACAGTATCAATACACTGCTACATTACTACAGTATCAATACACTGTTGTATTACTACAGTATCAATACACTGCTACATTACTACAGTATCAATACACTGCTACATTACTACAGTATCAATACACTGCTACATTACTACAGTATCAATACACTGTTGTATTACTACAGTATCAATACACTGCTACATTACTACAGTATCAATACACTGTTGTATTACTACAGTGTCAATACACTGCTACATTACTACAGTATCAATACACTGTTGTATTACTACAGTATCAATACACTGCTACATTACTACAGTATCAATACACTGTTGTATTACTACAGTTCAATACACTGCTACATTACTACAGTATCAATACACTGCTACATTACTACAGTATCAATACACTGCTACATTACTACAGTATCAATACACTGTTGTATTACTACAGTATCAATACACTGCTACATTACTACAGTATCAATACACTGCTACATTATACAGTATCAATACACTGCTACATTACTACAGTATCAATACACTGTTGTATTACTACAGTATCAATACACTGCTACATTACTACAGTATCAATACACTGCTACATTACTACAGTATCAATACACTGCTACATTACTACAGTATCAATACACTGCTACATTACTACAGTATCAATACACTGCTGCATTACTACAGTATCAATACACTGCTACATTACTACAGTATCAATACACTGCTACATTACTTCAGTATCAATACACTGCTGCATTACTACAGTATCAATACACTGCTACATTACTACAGTATCAATACACTGCTACATTACTACAGTATCAATACACTGCTACATTACTACAGTATCAATACACTGCTACATTACTACAGTATCAATACACTGCTACATCACTACAGTATCAATATACGTTGTATTACTACAGTATCAAACACTGCTACATTACTACAGTATCAATACACTGCTACATTACTACAGTATCAATACACTGCTACATTACTACAGTATCAATACACTGCTACATTACTACAGTATTCAATACACTGCTACATTACTACAGTATCAATACACTGCTACATTACTACAGTATCAATAACTGTTTATTCTACAGTATCAATACACTGCTGCATTACTACAGTATCAATACACTGCTACATTACTACAGTATCAATACACTGCTACATTACTACAGTATCAATACACTGCTACATTACTACAGTATCAATACACTGTTGTATTACTACAGTATCAATACACTGCTACATTACTACAGTATCAATACACTGTTGTATTACTACAGTATCAATACACTGCTACTTACTACAGTATCAATACACTGTTGTAATGAAATACAGTATCAATACACTGTTGTATTACTACAGTATCAATACACTGCTACATTACTACAGTATCAATACACTGCTACATTACTACAGTATCAATACACTGTTGTATTACTACAGTATCAATACACTGTTGTATTACTACAGTATCAATACACTGCTACATTACTACAGTATCAATACACTGCTACATTACTACAGTATCAATACACTGCTACATCACTACAGTATCAATATACTGTTGTATTACTACAGTATCAATACACTGCTACATTACTACACTATCAATACACTGCTACATTACTACAGTATCAATACACTGTTGTTTTACTACAGTATCAATACACTGCTACTTATACAGTATCAATACACTGCTACATTACTACAGTATCAATACACTGCTACATTACTACAGTATCAATACACTGCTACATTACTACAGTATCAATACACTGCTACATTACTACAGTATCAATACACTGTTGTATTACTACAGTATCAATACACTGCTACATTACTACTGTATCAATACACTGCTACATTACTACAGTATCAATACACTGCTACATTACTACAGTATCAATACACTGCTACATTACTACAGTATTCAATACACTGCTACATTCTACAGTATCAATATACTGTTGTATTACTACAGTATCAATACACTGCTACATTACTACAGTATCAATACACTGTTGTATTACTACAGTATCAATACACTGCTGCATTACTACAGCATCAATACACTGCTACATTACTACAGTATCAATACACTGTTGTATTACTACAGTATCAATACACTGCTGCATTACTACAGTATTAATACACTGCTACATTACTACAGTATCAATACACTACTACATTACTACAGTATCAATACACTGCTACATTACTACAGTATCAATACACTGTTGTATTACTACAGTATCAATACACTGCTACATTACTACAGTATCAATACACTGCTGCATTACTACAGTATCAATACACTGTTGTATTACTACAGTATCAATACACTGCTACATTTACTTACAGTAATCAATACACTGCTACATTACTACAGTATCAATACACTGCTACATTACTACAGTATCAATACACTGCTGCATTACTACAGTATCAATACACTGTTGTATTACTACAGTATCAATACACTGCTACATTACTACAGTATCAATACACTGCTGCATTACTACAGTATCATTACACTGCTACATTACTACAGTATCAATACACTGCTACATTACTACAGTATCAATACACTGTTGTATTACTACAGTATCAATACACTGCTACATTACTACAGTATCAATACACTGTTGTATTACTACAGTATCAATACACTGTTGTATTACTACAGTATCAATACACTGCTACATTACTACAGTATCAATACACTGCTGCATTACTACAGTATCAATACACTGCTACATTACTACAGTATCAATACACTGCTACATTACTACAGTATCAATACACTGTTGTATTACTACAGTATCAATACACTGCTACATTACTACAGTATCAATACACTGTTGTATTACTACAGTATCAATACACTGCTACATTACTACAGTATCAATACACTGCTACATTACTACAGTATCAATACACTGCTACATTACTACGTATCAATATACTGCTACATTACTACAGTATCAATACACTGCTACATTACTACAGTATCAATACACTGCTACATTACTACAGTATCAATACACTGCTACATTACTACAGTATCAATACACTGCTACATACTACAGTATCAATACACTGCTACATTACTACAGTATCAATACACTGCTACATTACTACAGTATCAATACACTGCTACATTACTACAGTATCAATACACTGCTACATTACTACAGTATCAATACACTGCTACATTACTACAGTATCAATACACTGCTACATTACTACAGTATCAATACACTGCTACATTACTACAGTATCAATACACTGTTGTATTTACTACAGTATCAATTACTGCTACATTACTACAGTATCAATACACTGTTGTATTACTACAGTTTTCAATATACTGCTACATTACTACAGTATCAATTTCACTGTTGTATTACTACAGTATCAATACACTGTTGTAAATTTCTACAGTATCAATACACTGCTACATTACTACAGTATCAATACACTGTTGTATTACTACAGTATCAATACACTGCTACATTACTACAGTATCAATACACTGTTGTATTACTACAGTATCAATACACTGCTACATTACTACAGTATCAATACACTGTTGTATTACTACAGTATCAATACACTGCTACATTACTACAGTATCAATACACTGCTACATTACTGCAGTATCAATACACTGCTACATTACTACAGTATCAATACACTGCTACATTACTACAGTATCAATTCACTGCTCATTACTACAGTATCAATACACTGTTGTATTACTACAGTATCAATACACTGCTACATTATTACAGTATCAATACACTGCTACATTACTACAGTATCAATACACTGCTACATTACTACAGTATCAATACACTGCTACATTACTACAGTATCAATACACTGCTGCATTACTACAGTATCAATACACTGCTGCATTACTACAGTATCAATACACTGCTACATTACTACAGTATCAATACACTGCTGCATTACTACAGTATCAATACACTGCTACATTATTACAGTATCAATACACTGCTACATTACTACAGTATCAATACACTGCTACATTACTACAGTATCCATACACTTCTACATTACTACAGTATCAATATACTGTTGTATTACTACAGTATCAATACACTGCTACATTATTACAGTATCAATACACTGCTGCATTACTACAGTATCAATACACTGCTACATTATTACAGTATCAATACACTGCTACATTACTACAGTATCAATACACTGCTACATTACTACAGTATCAATACACTACTACATTACTACAGTATCAATATACTGTTGTATTACTACAGTATCAATACACTGCTACATTACTACAGTATCAATACACTGCTGCATTACTACAGTATCAATACACTGCTACATTACTACAGTATCAATACACTGCTACATTACTACAGTATCAATACACTGCTACATTACTACAGTATCAATACACTGCTACATTACTACAGTATCAATACACTGCTGCATTACTACAGTATCAATACACTGCTACATTACTACAGTATCAATACACTGCTGCATTACTACAGTATCAATACACTGCTACATTACTACAGTATCAATACACTGCTGCATTACTACAGTATCAATACACTGCTACATTACTACAGTATCACTGTATCGCAATAACACTGCAAGTCTCTGCAACACTGATTCACAGATTTGTTTTCTTCATTTAATTATTCCTTGGTGTTTGAGCACTAACCAGTAAGTACGTACGTAATTAAGCACATAAGTTTATTCAGGTACAGGTACACATATAATCAGTTACATGAATTATCATACATAGCAGCGTATGTGTAGTTACCTATGATAACCCTCTGAGAAGGTCAGATAAAATGACTTGTTTCCAGTAGTTTCAAGGAGAGTTACTAACGTGCTCAACACGGGAGACCAGAGTGGTCTTCCTTAC